TAGAAAGTAATGCACATACATATGTACATAAATACGCACGTGGTGTGGTGTACGCGGTTAGTGTAGAATTATAAGTAGATTATCTCGAGCTGTGTGAGTATTACTAGGCAAGGGAAATTTAAGAAATATTCGTTTTCGAAGGTTAAGTGATGCTGTTATTCTATGAAATGTTATTTGAAATTTTTTTATTATTTAAAACATAAAAAAAAAAAATTATTTTATTTTGGAAATACTTCTTGCTTGTCGATCAATAATTTTTCTGTTATCTTCTCTTTCAGATCGAAATGCGTCGCAATTGTGGCAATAAGATCATCGAAGAAGACGAAGAATGTGATTGTGGCACCTTCGAGGAGTGTGCCTTAGATCCGTGTTGCGATGGCATTACCTGTAAACTGAAATCAGAGGCGCAATGTGCCAGCGGCGCCTGTTGTGATCAGTGTCGCGTAAGTATCATTATTTTTTAATCATAATAATAATAGATTGGCGTTGACACATATGTTAGTGTTGGGCCGAAATTCTCCTCCGATTTGTGGTGTGCGCCTTGCTTATGTCACACAAAGAGGAGGGGGACCTACAGTTTTATGCCGACTTTGCACGACGATTTTTTTTTAATTAGAAGCTGTTTTTCATAGCAGCAATACACTCGATAGTTTGCCATTACCTAAAGCAAAAAGAAGCATAAAATAATACAAAACTTTGATTTTTCTAAGAAGTATATTCGCCGAATATTAACTCAGTGGCCATTTAATTCAAAACAGACAGAAAAGAAAATTCTTTATTTGGACAAATTTCCAAGATTCCAGTACTACAAAAACCTTCATTTCTATCTGCCGTAGCACACAAAAATTAGAATCTTGGTAAAAACACGTAAAGGAAAGCTCGGCTTCATTCCTGAAAATTAAATTATGTAAAAAATAATGTTGATATTAAAAGAATAAAAATTAAAAAATATAAAAAAATGTAATCATAAAATTTGTATACGTATACTAACACATCAACAACCATGTCGCAAACAATTGCTGGGACAGCAGATTTTTTTAGTGGTGTTTTAGGAGCTCGATTCCCTAGATAGAAGCTCATCAAAGAGATGGTCTGATCCTGAACTTTGATTTTCATTTTGCTGAAGTTGCTTTGACGAGGAGAGTCGCAAATGCATTTTTACTCTTGGTCTCACACAGGTTGGTTGGATTCAAAGAGACAAACCTAGAAATAGAGCCCAAGAAATATATGTGTGAAGTTTTGCAAATAGTCGCAGCAGATGTTCGTCAAACCTAAGTCTGCTAGCTTTTGGAACAAATATTGATGAAAATGTCATCGTCTTAGTACAGCTAAGGCTGATCAGTGGTGTCTTCCGCTCTCGATTTCCCGCCGTTTTACAGCCGCGATAATAGTGATTCGATGGAAATTCTATTATGCTGGTCTACATATCGCACACCGTCTCCAAAAGAGTCACAACTCAAAATTTTGCATTTTTGTGATTATGCGCTAAAAATGCACGCAGAGCTTTTATTTACCTTTCGGCAAAAGCTGAAGCAAATTTTTGTTATAATTAAAAAAAAACTGAGGTAAAGTCGCCATGTGCTAAGAAATTGTTTTTCGCATTTTCTGACAAACGTATTATTTTGAGTTGTGACTCTTTTGAAGACGGTGTGCGATATATTCCCATTAATAGATGACTAGCGATGAACCGGCTTCATTCGAGCGCGTTTCAAGGGGAAAAAGAAGGCAAGAATGAATCAACAAGCAAACATAATCTTAATTTTAGTGGCAGTTCTTTTTGTTAAACATTACTTCTCACTCTGTGAAGGCCGTGGGTCCGTGTATTGGGCCGATTATCGAATGTTATCGTAGAAATTGAATAAATGAATTTTTTAGCGAACGAGCCGGGTATTACACCTGTTGGTTAAAAGATCGAGAAGAGTTTCAGGGGCTCAATTCGGTGTACCTCTTGTACTTTACTGAACAGAGCGGTAATGGCCTTGCTTAACATCTCTACAGTGTTTCTCTTCCCAGCAATTGGAATAGTGAATGACTCAAAAATGTTCTTGGATGAGCAGTTGGGTATGATATCGTCATAAAAGCAGGAGCAATTTTGAAATAAATTTTTTTTTTTTTAACTTTTCAGGACGGGCCGGAAAAAGCCAATAAATTCAAATTTTATAAGATATGGGTTTTGACTTCGTTTAAAAAATTTCACTTAAGGCGATTTTAACTATGAATTTCATTTTATCTTGTTGAAGCTTTACGAGTGGTTTCAGAAAGGTGAATGGCTTCATTACTGGTCAACTTAGAAGTAGGGCTCCATTTTGCCACTACTTTACCTCAATATTATACAAAAAATATGAATTTGCTGATCAAATTTTCTAATACCAATTAATGTATGTATGTGGTTCTAAGCAGTAATTTCTTATTTGAAACAAGTAATTTTTAAGCAAAAAAAACAAAACCGACTTCAACTCTCATAGAAAAATTTAATAGTTCCGATATAAGCCAAACTAGTATGGGACCATCTTTGAGGTAACACCTTTCCTACAAAAAAAAAAACAAGAATTATAGTAATCAGTTAACGTGGTCAAAAGTTATTCGGTAACATACATAACAAAAAAAAAAACATTCCCACGGATTAATGACCTCCTCCTTTTTTGAAGTCGGTTAAAAAATAGTTCGTAATGTGCGTAAGTGAAAAATTATTTTTTTTCTGTGAGTTTTCATAATGAACTCAAAAAGAAAAATAGTTTTTCACTTAAATTAATTTCGTGAAACTGAACATTAGTCTTGAAAAATTCATTTTTAACCAACTTCAAAAAAGAAGAAGGTTATCAATTCATCGGAATATATATTTTTTTATGTGATACCGCATAACTTTGGATCACGTTCACCGATTTCGATAATTCATCGGAAAGGTGGTACCACAGGGGTGGTCCCATACTAATTTTGTTGATATCTGATAATTGGATCACGAAGAATTTAACGGTAAACCTAAATTGTTATATGAGAATTGAAGTCCGTTTTCTTTTTTACTAAAAAATTACTTGTTTCCAACTGTATATCGTAGTGGCGGCCGCATAACAGAGTGATTAGGGTGCGAACTTCCCTCCGTAGAAATTGGTGCTGGGTTCGACCAACAACGAAAAATAATAAAGAACGGTCATCCGTTGACAGGCAATGACAAATCTCCGAGTAAATTTTTGGCATGAAACACATTTTTATAAAAGAACCATCTACCATTTGCAGTTGGCACAAAATTACAAGTCCTTCCATTTCTGCCACACAGCATACAAATATTAGACTTTTCGGACAACATTCTTCCACTAAAATTATATGTATGTATATAATTTTTTCTTAATTTCCTCATCCATTTCAAAAGCTTCGTCCAAAGGACTATATCTGCCGTGATTCGCACAACGAATGCGATCTGCCAGAATATTGTGATGGTGAAATTGGTCACTGCCCAGCTGATGTGTTTAGAAAGAATGGATCACCGTGTGGACATACTAAGGCAGGAACATCGGGTAAGATGGAAAATTTAATGTTTTGAAATTTATTAAAAAAAAAAAATAAGCAAATGTGCAGCTTGTTCAATGTTGTACAAATTGCGAAACAATATATTTCGGTTATTCGCATGCCTAAATTAGAAAGAAAAAGTTATTAAATATATGCTAGTAATTAATATTATTACACCTACTCTATATAATTTTTTAGGTTACTGCTTTCAAGGTGACTGTCCCACCTTGAATCTGCAATGCGAAGCCATCTGGGGCTATGGTGGCTCGGCGGCCGATCGGCAATGCTATGAGCAATTCAATTCAAAGGGTTCAATCAATGGCCATTGTGGGCGTGACGCAAATGAACATTACATTAAATGCGAGCCAGAGTAAGTGTGACTAAAAATTTCAAGGATTTCATAAAGTCTTGCCTCCCCTTCCGCTCATTAAAAACGTTTAAGTGAAAAATAAGATAACTAAATTTATGCAAATAATAATATATTTAATATTTAAAATACGTAAAAGAGGCCTAATTTTTATTTTCCAATATATTTTCAAGCTTTCTCGAATATTTTTAAATTTTAAATTTATATTTTGTGCATTTCCTTTTTTTTTGTAGAAATGTTCAATGTGGCACACTGCAATGCAAGGAGGGCGAACGGCAGCCGGTCAATGATGGCATTGATCAACTTTATTCGAATACGATAATCTCAATAAAAGGATTGGAGTATGAATGCAAGTAAGTGGAAAAACTCTAGCGATTTATTTCTATTTACAAATATATATAAAAAGGCGATTATTCAAAAAATTTATAAATCCTCATATCAACTAGGGGGCTCGACCCTATTAAGCTGGCATTTCTGGGTACTATTTTATATATATATAAAGAAATTTTGAAAGTTAGGGGGGCTCGAGCACCCCCCTGCCCCTACCTGGCTACGCCCATGCTTAAGTCATTGCTGTTTTAGCAGTTCTTCAGTTATCTTTCTTACTCTTTCTTCGTTTTCCTGGCTGGAAATGTTTTTGAGTTAGGAGATTTTTGAAAACCAACATTTCGTGTTCTAAATTTTTTAATACCAGAATTTCGATACTAGCCCTCTTCGACTGTAATTGTCCTGAAAATAATAGGAGTGCGATATTTTGATCAGCTTTTATTATATTGTATCTATGCTATACCGTATAAATCCAGAATTAAAGGTAAAAAAAGAAAAATTTAAAAAATGTTCACCAAATTTAAATTTTTTAAGAGTTTTTAAATAAATTTTTTATGCAGTTTTCGCATCGTAGTATTGTAAAAAAAATTGCCAAAAATCAAAACGCTTTCTAAGGAGCTTCAAACTTACAGTATATTTGAATTTAAAGCTGCTTATCTGAAAATTTTCAAAAAGTTCTGTGTAAAAATTTTGAAATTTTTTTGTGTTTTTATAATTTTTGCACAAAGTTTTAAATATCGATTTATGTGGTGTTTGTTATATAAAGAGCAATGCTTTTATAAAATGTTAATGAAAATTAAACAAACAAAATAAAAATATTCATAACTGGTCAAAATATCGCCATCATAAAATTTTTTTCTGAACAACTGCACATTAGGGTGGTCCAAAAACAGTAAAGTCGGAATTGTAATGCTCTCACCCCGTAGGATTGTTCTATATTGAAAAAATATCCTCTTATTTTTGTATTTTGAAATCAAACTTTTGGTAAAAATGGTGTAGTATTCTAGAAAATCAATATTTTTCATATCTTCAGGAGACTTTCAATAATAATACCCAATTGTTTATTTAACCATTTATTAATAATAACGATTTTTCATTGGTCCCCCCATTGAAATTTTTCGGGGTTTTTATGGATTTTTGGCTGACCTATAAATTATAGTTGCGATGAAAAAATGGTTATGTAAACAATTGAGTATTACTATTGTGAATCTGCTGCAGAGAAACAGAGTTATCCGATAGAAAAATATTGATTTTTAAGAATTCTATACCATTTCTACGAAAAGTTGTTTTTTCCCCATACAAAATACATGGAAAACTTTGGGCGCTTTGAGCGACCTCTAAATATTTTTTGATTTCAAAATAAAAAATAAGGGTATATCTTTTCGGTATAGAACAATCCTAGGGGGTGAGAGCATTAAAATTCCGACTTTACTTTTTCACGTGTATTTTTGGACCACCCTACTGCACATCCTTACATGTGTGTATCTATAAGTAAATATGCATTTGCTAAATACAAGAATATTTAAATATAAATTTGTGCCTTCTTTTGAGCAAATGGATTTTCTCATCCAATGCTCTTATGCCCCTTCCTTCTCCGACTTATTATTTAATATAATTTAATTTCTCATTTTAAAATTCTCAATTGCCTTAATGAACGTTTTCATCATTTCCATTTTGTTCACTTTTTCTGCAGAGCCACCAGCGGTCAAGTGGGCACCAATGAATATCCAGAACATGGCTTGGTGAAGGATGGTACGCCATGCGGTAAAGATTTGATTTGTCTGAATCAGACTTGCGTCAGCATTTTTCCACACATCGATCAAACAAAATGTCCGACAAATAAACAAGGCCAAGAGTGTTCAGAACGCGGAGTAAGTAAACAAGTCAAACAAAAATAAAAACACATTCATACACTTTAAAGCAATAAACTTTAACTCAAGCTGATAATGAAGAAAAAACTATAAAAAAAAAAATAATCAATATCAATGAATATCTGTGCATAATCGGAAAGAAAAGCAAAAATAAAAACAAAAACAAGCACAAATATAATAATTTTTAAGGCGATTCATTATTGAGATATTTCCGCAGCCAAGTGAATGCCGCAAATGTGCCACATCAAAAGAATATTTCTTTATACTATATATATACCAAATAATGAAAATATACAATTTACTACGCGCTGTGCTGCTGCTGCTGCTGTAGCTGCAAATTTAACCATTTAAGCCCAGTGGCCATTCATTCAACCATTAAAGTATTTAACCCACAATAATGAGCAGCGCTTCAGAGGTGATTACGCAGTCGTAACCGTAGCCGCAACCGCACTGCTAGGCGCCTGATTAATGCGTTCAGAAATAAGATACCAAAAAAACAAAACGAGAAAAGAAACAAAAGCAATACAACAACAAGCAATTTCATGCATGAAATTATAACGAAAAGTACGAAAAATAAATCGAAAATATTTTGTGGTTGAAATTTGCAGCAACGGGCCAAGCAAATGTATGAAAAGTGTTACGTATACGCCATGCCGACCCGCAGACGCCTGCAATAATTCTTAACGCCAACAGTTAGCACCGAACAAAGGCAAACACAACTACAACACAAATGAAAGATTGCGCTACAAAGAAAATATTTGTGTTGTGCAAGTATGTGCGCGTATATGGCGTGTGTTTGTTTGTGCAGTAATCGGCCAAAATGCGACCGTAAATTCCATGCAGTGACTCATTTACGGTCATTGCTGACGGACTACTAAAGTGCAGCGCAACGATGGCTGAGCACATTTTGCCAGCGGCAATAGCAAAAGCATTAACAAGAAAATACAACAACGAAACGAAAGCAGTTATCTGCTTGTCCGGCCAGAATGTCGACAGAGCTCATTATTGGGTCAACGCTGGTTGCCATTCGACTGTGAGCTGTAGCCGCCAATGTATAAATAGGCTTAAATGTAATTAAAAATTTAAAATATATCGTTCCAAAAGCTTTCGGCACATAAACAAATGCACACACAGAGGGTAATAGCCAAAAAAGCTTTTACGCGACTCTGCTACTCATTTCAGTTGCTCAATGGCTGGCTGATTGGTGGCCCGATTTGGCTGGTTGGCTGGTTGGCTGGCTATCTGTGTGGCTGGTGGGTTTGCTGATTGGTTTGTTGAATTATTCGACTCGCTGCAATGTCATTTTGCATTTTTAATCCATATTGATAGCTGCAACTTTTAATGGAAATATTGTTTATGCGAAGCTTTCACGTTGATTACGTTTTCCGTACGTATGAATGCACTTGTAATATATTTTACAAATTTGGATATGTCTGAAAATCGATTAGCAATGACAACCAATTTTGAAATTAATCAAATTTATTTATGTATAAATGCATTGTTGCCCACAAAATTTTCAGCTAGCCCAAATGTATTCATCAGTTTTTCAAGTAATTACATTTTTAATTAATTATTTCCCTCGTTTTTTTTTTGTTTTATATTTTTTTTTTTCTAATTCCTCAGGTCTGTACGAATACGAATCGGTGCTTCTGCGACATGGGCTGGGGCGGCATCGATTGTAGCCTTGTAGTTTTATTGACCACACCACTGCCAACAGAAGCGCTGCCAACCGCGGAGAACACTATCAAAATGGAGAAGAAGGAGACGCCATATGGTAAGAGGATTATGTGTAGAATTGTTTGGTAACTATTGCGCTCACAGAGTTGCATGCAGGCACAGCAAGGCGCGTTATTTCCATTGTCTTTTTACTCAGGTTTTAGCTTTCACAAGCGCAAGTGAAAAATACATTTAGTTGATTTCCGTAATTTTACTACATCGCCTTCGCTGCCGCGCTCTGGAGTTTTCTTATAAATCTCATTTCTAAGACAATAAATGTTGCATTAGAAAACTTAAAAAAAAAATTGCATAAAGGATCTTCGAATTAAGAACGCAGGATGCAAAGTCAAAAGTGTTCTTAAAATAGATTTTTTTGTTTGCTTTTTCAAGCTGTTATTGGTAGCTGGGAGCTAAAAAAAATATTCTTTACTAAAAAGTGTAATTTTCATATATTTTCATATAAGTATTTACTATTTATGTTAGTTCAGTTTTTTATGTTCTGTCATTCCTCTACTGATCCTTCCATCCATACTTTCCGCTACGGCCTGCCTGTCTAACATAGACAAACAAATACAAAAATATTCGGGGAGCATCTTCCGGTGTAAAATCCCCAATTCCAAAGCCTGATTTTTCGATTGGCCCCGCTCCGAAAACTACCAGCTCATCTACAGCTTGGTCATGCTAGGGATGCTTCCAAAAGCAGAATTGGACCCTTCCGAGGCTGCCACAAAAACCTCATGTAATTTTCCATAGTAAGAACAAAAATGGCAATAAAATTTCCGAAATGTGTGTTTTTAGTTCATATTCTCCTCGTCCATATCTTATTTGCTAAGTATTGGGCGGTAACCTTTTAGCTCGAACTCCCCTTTTAAGGACCTTTAGCCAATGCGGCAACGCACCGCCTGAATTTAATTGCATTCCTTCTAAAGCTGAGCTTTTAATAATGCAAAAATTTGTCGACAAAATTTCCTTCTATCAGTGAGGGCTGAATTATGAAAGGGGTAAGCAAATTAAAATAAAAACAAACTTCGATATAAAATTTGCGTATATTCGCTCACGTTAGAAAATAGTTTTTAACTATTAAATTACAACTCATAAGGAGATATTCTAAAGCTCTCAAAGCTAACGAAAAATCTTTTGAAACTAATTTTGCAGTAAATTAAGGCTGCCTTTATTTAAGTCTGCGACTGTGATCCATTGATCGACTGGATTTGCCACAGAGAAAAAATACAGAGTCAAGAACCATAACCCGCGACGGCAGAATCTTGAGCTGTGAGACTGAAGGTGCTCAGCGCGCCCAAAGCACAGTCTCTAAATATGTAACATTCCGCATCAGAGCTAGCTTGCTTTTGTACCACCAACTATTGGTTTTTACGTTGTAAAATCGAATAGAAATTTTCGAAGTCTCACAAGTTGTTTCTATACCTATTCAATTTTGTACATATCATATCTGTTAGTTCTTTATTTGCCTGCTTTAAAATAGCCAAAACTTACATCTTTAATTTAAAATTTGATTTTGGTTTACCATTTTGGCTTTGCATTCTGCCATCCTAAGATAATTTTTAGGCTTTGTAACGATGGCGGAGTGGAAGAGCGACAAAAGCTCGACAGCCAGTCCTATTTCAGAATTTGGTTGAAGAACGCCCTATCTCAGCTGCCGATTCAAAACCGCCCTAACTCAACATATTTTCAATATATATCCAGTTGCGGTAGGGCATTTTTCAATAAAATTCTGAAATTGGGGCCTCTTGAAAATTTTTCTGAGATAGAGTCTTTTCAAACCGGCTGAAGGGATAGGTCGAGCTTCCACTCAGCCGACGATATACACAAGGATTTATTAAAGAAACGATAACAGTAATATATTATAGGAAAATGCTACAAAGCAGTGAAATGTTGCAAAGTACTGCGCGACATAAAAAAAAGCTGAAAGGAAAAATAATAATCTTAATTGAGGCTTATATTTAATCAAATGAGTGGCCGTTACCTCTATGCTAATAAACCCTAAATTGCGTAGATTTTTAACAAGCTTTTGAAATGAAAAAAGTTAATTTATTTTTAAAGTAAATTAATATCCCTTCAACGTATTCATGTAGCGTTATTTTCAATGCATTGTACAAACAATATCAAATTATTAAACCATATTAGTTATTTTATAAACTCCAAGAGTATTTTAACAAGAAGAGGGAAAATATATGTATATAGTACAAGTTAAAATTAAATATTTCTAAGTATAAAACGGTGTAACTAATTGATTCAAAATATTAAATTAGTTGCAAAACCCTATCACTATCACTATCTTAATTTTTTTTTTGGAATTTTTCGAAATTTAAAATTACTTTATAGTGATGAAAAACGTGAATGCGAGCGCTTTAAATTAATTTAAAAAAAAAACAACAACAAAAGAAGGAATGTCAATTTATAAAAACCATTATAAAAACTATTTATACATTTAAACGCATAATAGTATTGCTAAAAATTAATATTATTATATATATATACGAGTATGCTTTATAAAATATTTTCTCTTTTCCATAGTATAAAATTCTTTGAAGAGTATTTTATTTAAAATGTAACTCAAATTTCTATGAATTCCCAAAAATCCTCCTCTTAACAATATTTCACTGCTTCCATTTCGATTTATTTTTTTTTTCACAAATCCTTTTGTGATATGACAATGGTAATCACGCCAGAAGCAACAGTTGTTAACACCAAAAACAAAAAGGGAGCAGCTGCTGCTCTCTTTAAATATTAGCAATGACAAACACTATCACTAGTTCATCAATAGGCAATAAAAAATATTATTATGCACATACGTGCATATATGAAAATAAAAAGTAAGACAAACCTAACGACGTGCACATGGAAAAGATCAACCGCATTACGCTCTTAGCACTGGCAAATGCAGCTTACAAAGCGAAAATCCCCTAATCCCTCAGTAAGCATTAAAATTTGTCAATTAAAGAAGATAAAATATGCGCTGCTTTTTGCTCTTTTGCTCTTTTGCGCTATGGTAAGCCAATGGTAAGAAAAAAATCTAATAATATGCATAGGTGATTTTAAAACTGCAAAATAATATATACATTAGGGGGGGGTCAATTTGTATGGGAGATTTTTTCCGAAGAAACCATGGGTCTAAAATCAATTTGGAGTTTGGCAAATTGCGAAAAAAAGATTTATTAGCATTTTGCTCTAATGCTAATATTTTGTATCAAAATATGCCGGAAGGATTTTTTGGTATGAGGAATCCATTTTTGCAATTACCTTTTACTTAAAACTTCCACCAGAGGGCGTAACAGTGAAAATTTTCACATTTTCTTCGAAACAAATTTAACCAATTTGGCAAACTCCAAATTGATTTTAGACCCATGGTTTCTTCGGCAAATTTGCTTAGAATTGCACATAGAATCATTCTGTGCTAAAAATAGTAAAATAGTAAAAAAATGACCCGCCCTAATGTATATGCATACATGCCTAAGTACTTTATATTATCTTTTTTATTTTCAAAATATTCTGAGTACATATTATTTTTTTTTAATTACGTTTTATACACAAAAGTTTAAAGCGCAAATATTCCAGAACAAACTAACTGTTATAATAGAGTCTTGTACTGCATTTTATTGTGCCCGCATTGCATTCACAAAAAAACTGAGAAAGAATTCAAAATTACTTAAATTTCGAAAAAAAAAAATATTGTAATTAAACCTTAAATGAATTGAGTAACTGGTATTGAATGAATTGGAAACGATCCTTCCTTCCATCCGACATTTTACAGGCACCTCAGACCAAAATAGGATCAGCACATTAACCATGGTCATCATATTAACCGTTATCGTGAAATGCGTCTTCATTAGTTTCGCAACTCTGGCGGTTTGCTACAGGTAGAGTACCAAGCAAAATCATAAGATAGAAAAAAACGAAATCAAAATCAAAAACAAGAACAAAAAACCAGAAACGGAAAACTAAAAACGAAACAAGAAAATTATTTATTTATGTATAACAACAAACACAAACAAAGGAAAGAATTTTATACAATAGTGTAAGCAGCACAAAAAGCAAAAAGAGAAAAGAGAAAATACATTAAATACGGCAAAGTAATGGAATATTAGCCTTTGCGAAATACTCGTACTTACATAATTAAAAAGAAAAACAAATTTTCTAAAATTTTTGGATTTGAAATTTATTTTAGTTTCATGCTGAACTTCATTTGGTTTATATTTTTACAAGTTTACAAAAAAAAAAGTTTCTGCATATTGAACCAAACCTCTATATCACTATGTTATTCGACTCGCTGAAGCCGAATCCGAGGTCCGTTAACCTTCATAATGTCAGATTCGAGGTCATTTGAGGGTGGAATAGGGCAAACAATTTATTCAATAAAAACATTAAACAAAATGTCTTGTTTTGTTGTCGCTGAATCCGAATATTCTTAAAGGTCATCTAGATGACGTGCCAAGGCCATCCAAGGTCGAATTTCGAGGAATTATATTAAATTTTCAGGTTTATTCAATGATAGGTAATTATCTATAATCACATCTCAATTATGGATCAGATCGGCCTGGTTATCCCAAAAACTGATTACCCGGTTCGTATATGGTTGGCTTGTTCAATGAAAACTAATATGAGTTATAGTTTACCTTCAACATAAGGGATTCTATACTGTCCTCTCACGGAATTATCTGATTCAAAGTTAAAAAGTAGTTTATTCTTTAGGTTGTCAGCGATAATTGTAATAGTACTATGGATAGTCCAAGACTTTGAAGCTTTCTTGTTCGCTTTTCACGTGGATTCTTGATGTAAACTTGCACCTCAGCTAGTCTGAAAACCTATCGGAAGGTCTAGGATAGTTTTAACAGCCTTGTTAGTGTGTAGGGTAAAGTACCTATGATAAGTACTTAGACCTTGCAAAAACTCTTGTGCATGCGTAACGGGTACAAAAAGCTTCCCTGGACAACTCATCTATGTAATGGCTCCTTTTAAAGACAAGAAGTCCAGCATAAGATATACAATGAATATAGGATAATTTTTCATATTTTTATTCCAAAAATATAGTACCTAATTTTGAAGTTAGGAAATACTCACTACTGAGTTTTCGTTAGTTTCGGATGCAGCGGGCTTTGTAATTGTGAACAATATATTTTTTTTTTTTTTTTAAATTTAAGATTTTAGTAAAAATTTAAAACGCTAAAAATTATAATTATTTCTATTTTTTATTTTTTTTCATTTTTTCCTAACTTTTTTACATCCAAATAATAATAATTTTTGGGAAATATATTCAGCTAGATATTCGTACGACCTTTCTAAATGCTTTGATGATGCTTACATTGTTGTACAAAATGTGTCTGCTATAACAAAAACTACATATACTTTTATATGGTCACACGTAAAATTGTAAAAAGAAACATTATTTCCAAATTTTAATTTTAATTTCAATTAATAGTGGATTTGGCTAAAATTTAAATAATTTTGAAACTTGAACTTTGAACAAGAAATTGGAAAAAATACCCTTAAAGTATACCATGCGTTTTTGTTTCAACTCATCACTGTTATGACAGTTTTTTTGTACAAAACTATGCCGCAAATATTAGATTCAAGCGCTAAATAAATGCGCACAAATTTTGGAAAAGGTACCGAGGCATAGTTTCAGGCCTAAAAGCAAAATAGAGCTGTAAGTTGCCATTCTTATTAGATAAATATTTCGAATAACATTGTACTATTCTGCAGTGGAATTCTGCCAATTGCTGCGGTAAATATTCATCACCAAATTTCTCTAAATGAAAGGCAGTGGGGCCTAAAAGTATACAACATGAAAAAGTAACATATGCAATGTGTAATCCATTAAATTCAGCAGTATGGGGCCATGTGACTATATGTTGCATGTTGTTAGGCGCGTCTGCTATTTTTGGAGATTTTTGGCGATCAAAATTAGCGATAGCGAATTTTCGAATACGACTGCTGGTTTCAAATATCGGTTCACAGTTTTTCTATATTGTAATACAAAAGAAAAAAAATTATAAAGGTACCAGTTATAGCCAAATCTATTATTTCGCGATTTACAATACACGCTACTCAAGTAAAAATATTTACACAGGTACTCCTACTTTCAGTTAAATATCAAATTTTTTGCTTTTCAATTTTACCTAATTTCTACTAACTAACATCACAATCTGTTATCAAAATTTTCACTAAATTCCATTTATGGGGCTTATATTTTCTTACAATTAAACATCTGAATTTTTTGGCACAAAATTTTGCTTTGCTAGGTTTAAGGCAAAAAATCACGAAATTTTATTTATTAAAAAAAAAAAATCCCATAGAAATAGCATTCAAAAAGTTTATGCAAGGATACAACTAAAAACTCGACTGAATTCGCAGCAACAGACAAATATCGACAGTTAAAAAAATAAAACAAACACAACAAAAACTAAACAAACAGCAAATAAACCATTTTGAAATGAAATTCAACCGAAAATTAGATGAAAACAAATTTTTGCTTGGTTTTCTCTCCTCACTTCAGCTATGTATATATGTATGTATATATGCATACGTACATACATATCTACAGTATATATATATTAAATGTGTGTGCCCTGCTATTGCTAATGTTTACCTGAAAAAAATGCTGAAAATATAACCACAAAAAAATGCGAAAAACATACACATATGTAAACATTTTAAGTATAAAACTTTTCATGCTATTTGATGTGAATTTGAGAGTGTGTATCTATATCAAATGTGCGTATCTATCTGCATTAATATAAATGTTGCGTGCTTCTTCATGAAATTCAGCAGCTGTTTATGTATATGCAACTGTGCAACCCTGTATGTGTATGATAACATATTTGTGTAAATTTTTTATTTACTTTTTCAATATTGATATGTTTATATATATGTCTACAAATGCGTTGTTATTCACAAATATATACAGGTCTAGGTTTATTAGGGTGGTACTTAAGATATCAACAAAGCAAACACATCCACGAAAATTTCAAATAAAAAAAATTTTGTGATTCACCTGTGTTAAAAAAATAATTTTTTTTTTTTAGTGGCAAAAATTCGAAAAAATTTTTGCTGTGACTGGTTGTAACTCAGACAGTTTAGTAATTTATGTAAATATATTTCAATGATATTCAAGTCAAAATTTTATCGTATTTTTCGATTTAAAAAAATTTAAATTTTTCTCCATAAAATTTTCGTGGATGTATTTATTTTGCGCGTAAACAAAATAAAGGGGTGCCCCATATCGTATACATTTTAAGTACCACCTTGATGTATTTGTCCTATCTGTCAGTTTTTTTTTGGTTTTTTTTAAGAACCTTTTTATTTTATTAAACAAATTCTATGTTTTTATTTTGCATACCTTTTTGTACCACTTCACAAAATATCAAATAATTTACCTATATATTAATCACGACTTGATCAAACATACATTTTAACGTTGTTATTAATCAATTGTTGAAAATTTAGCTTTGATTTGATTTTTCGTTTGCTTTCATCACATGGCAATGTGTGTAGCACAGGGCGTATAAGTAATTTAAAATGCACTTGCAATAAATCTCCGCCATTTGCCTATTTTTTGCGAGTATTATTAAATTTTCGAATAAATTCAAAATAATATTTTCCTTTAGCATCACAGTTTGCGAAAAATAAAATGTTTCTTTTAACTACTCACAGCTTTGAGTGACAGTTTGCAATTTTCATTTTACTATATATGTATTTGATTTATTGATGCATCACGTAACTGCATACTATGTCGTACTATGATCGAATTTACGTACATTTAATTGGCTTTTTATGATTTTGTCAATATTCATCTCAATTAAAATTTCCATTTTGTGGTGGCAGCGTCCAAAATTTCAATTTCGATTTGGCGCTGATGTTATACGTTGTACCACATCGTTTGCTGGTAGAATGTCCTAATCTGATAAAACAAAAATGGCAACCAGCACTTTTTATTTTGTGCAAAAAATTCATAACGATATATCTGTTAATTGTGCGTCCTTTGAAGGCAATTTTTCTTCTTTTTCACTTTAAAATTTTTAATGCTGTTTTCATGCTATAACTAAACAGCAATTAACAAAACTGTGTCCAATGTAAGGAATAGAATAAAAGCTGTATTTTTTATTACTTAATACGCCGAATCAAAATTTATTCTAGTTGGCTAGTTTTTATAATAAGTAATCGGTTTACATACACTAATCAAATAATGTTTCCGTACAGGGCTTTTTTTTACTATTTGCAATGTTTTTCGTAATAAATTTTTTTCGTTAATTTTTAATAGAAATATAGTTAAATCTGCATCAAATGGCATATAATTTAATGATTCAAAGTCTTTGCAAAATTAAAGAAAATTCGACAAATTTTTAACAAAATTTTCAATTTAAAAAAAAAATCGAACTTTTTGAGCACGCAGTTTTGTAGCTCACGCAATTTTAGTATAATAACGTACAATTTTAGGTGGCTTTAAACTACCGCTGATTTTTGGGATTTTTTTTGCTTTAAAAGTTGAAAATTTTGGTAGAACTTTGTCGAATTTTCCTAAGTTTTGTAAAAACTTTGAAGCACTAATTTATATGCCATTTGATGCAGAATGAACTATGTTTCTATCAAAAATTAACGAAAAAACATTGAAAATATTAAAAAAAACACTGTAGCTTGTCTTTTACTTTATTCATATTTTCTTTTACCTTCTTAACTTTTTTTTTGTTTAAGTATTTTATTATTATATTTTACATTATAGTTACTTGTCTAAGGTGTTGTTGTACTACTTGCTGTCTGCTATATACATAAAAATATACATACACATCGCATACAATCTTCAAAAGTGACACAACTCATTATTTACACATTCGTCAAAAAATGCGAAAAACTATTTCTTAGCACATGCTAACCATATGGGCAAGGGAGATTTTACCTTAGGTCTTTTAAACAAACTATAACAAAAATTTGCTGCAGCATTTGCTAAAATATAAATAAAGGCGCTGTGTACATTTTTAGTGCATAATTTCAAAAATGTCTAATTTTGAGTTGTGTCACTTTTGAAGATCATGTGCAATATGTTTCATATATTTTGGCATTCTTAAAACCTCCTTNACAGCTTTGGCAAATCACATCGCATCACAACATTTCGTGTTCTAGAGGATTACCATTGTCATAGTAGTTGACGACGTTGTTGTTGCTGCTGCTGCTGCTGTTGCTGTTGCTGGTATTGGTTTTGGTTTTCGTATTATATCTGTTACACCAAACCAGTAGCCAGCAATCAGCACTGCACAGCCAAGACTAGCCGCGTTTACCCCACTCAAATACTTACATATCTACATACAAATAATATATAGAAAATAAACTTATATAAATAATAGTAAAATAATAATAGAACCGTGCCAACTTTCATGATCATTTTCCTACAATTTAAATTTAAAAAAAATTTAAATTATAAAATATGCCTTTTTATACTACATAGCGCAAAAAATCATACTAGTTATTTTTAACTTATACAAATTAAATGAAATTCTAAACTTTATTTTTATATAAATTTCGTGTCAATGTTGCATCATCACGTCAACAACAATAACAACTTCAACAATGTAACGTCAACCCGCTTGCGAAATGTATGTATACTCAAACAAAAAACTAAAAAAAAACACGGCGCTGTGACTGCTGCGCAAAATGAAATTCAACCGCTTTGAACTGGTTGTATTATTTGTGTGTTTAAATAATAAAAAAAAACTCAAAAAAATAATACAAAAAATATACCGTCACGCACACACACACACACAAACAAAACACACACTCCAAATATTTAAAAAAAATATTTATAATTAAATAAAAATACCCTTCTTCCACACCCTCTATCCTGCCAACGCCTACACTTTTGTACAATAATCCAATAATAATAAACACCTTGCAAAAATTACAAAAAATGTATAATTAAAAAAAAAAACAAACAACGTTCACACTCGTATAGAGAACTACCACGGCTCAAATACAGTATTCCTGGTCGGTGTACTAATGTCAGTTGTTGGGTTCGTTTTTGTTACTTTCACCTTGATGGCACTGTGCTACAGGTCAGTTGTAGTACATAGAAACTTCTCCCTGTGTCTGAGGTTAGTTGAAAAGCAGTAATGAAAAACTTAAATCAAAAATAAACTAAACAAAATACCAAAACGCAAAAACAGTTATTCCAAAAAAAAAGAGTACAAAATTCTAAAATTTAAATTTTATTTGTTTAACCAAAAAACTGCCAGAAGGCGTTTCGCAAAAGTTGAGAAATGCTTCAAATCAGTAAAATAATAATTTATTTATTTTGTTTTTTTTTTTTTTATTCTGTATTCTATACAATTAACACTCGTTAAAAATATGCAAAATATTTTGTTTTTTTTTTGTTTTCTCATTTTATTTAATTTAATCAATGTATAAAGCGCAATGTGTACGATTTTTATTTCTAAATTCTCAAATTTTTTTATATAATTTTTTTAATTTTTGACACTTTTTGCTTTTGTATGCTATGGACATTTTTTTTTATTTTTTCGTTATATTTTTTACTTTTATTTATTTTGCTTTTAATTTCGAATCACACTAGTACTAACACTAAACACATACTAACAGCATTTTAAAGAATTAACGTTTCTGCAAAAAAAAAAACATTATTGCACTGCTACTAACAATCAAAATCGACAAACCTACCCTCATACAAGAATCCATTCATACATGCAGACAGGAATATCTACATTCACATATACAACAATAAACACAATAAAAGGGCGCGAAAGTGGAGTAGTTAAAAATCATCGTAAATTTATTTCTTCAAGAAAATGTATACCAAAAGCAAAATACTTTTCAAGCAATAGAAATGATAATAGTTTTTCCGGTAATTTTTTTGGAACTTGGATCTGAACTTGTATTACATTTTTTACTTAATTTCCAAAATCTTGTTTAGCGACAATGAAGAAAAGGTATTAGTAAGTTTTTCTATATATTAATTTGAACTCTGAACTGCTTTTCAAGAATCCTACCTTACACATAAATTAAATAAATCTCTAATAAATCGTTTAGAAAGCTATGGAGTTATAGCGAAAACTCTGACGTGAAAGCAATAAATTTTAGCTAAACTATAAGCATTGAGTACTCCGTGCATGATCTCATAGCAAAAAATTTTGTTTAATATATTTGTGTTATTTAAAATAATATTATGTCCTCAATATAAGTTAGATGTTGATCAGTATCTGAAAATTTAAAAAAGTAGCAATCCATTTATTCATAAACAACTTTTTCTTCTCAATGTTGTATTATTTAAGCTCGATAGTCCTTTTTCGATAGATCTCCATAGTTCTAAGCTTCTGATCCATCGAGATCATCTCTATAATTAAAATGATGTCTTATTAGATGTCTCCCTACATCATCTAAGGCACATTGTCCTCGCGAATTGCCAATTTTAAAACTGAGTGCAGCGTGGCTGCCACTATAGACACGTAAACTCCTGCCTCTTGATTTACTTTCTACCACATAGTTCATGACCTTCAATATTGCAAATACCTCGGCTTTGAATACCGAGTCATATTCCTGAAGAGAGAAGTAAAGCTTTTCGTCAATACATTCAATATTCATGGAATCTAGATTCTTACCCAGTGCCAGTAATGATGGCGCACTATACTGGGACATTGAAAAAATACTTGTATCCAAATATGTGCCACCAGCAACTTATTCCTGAGGTATAGATCCAGGGAATACCCATGAATGACATGCCACACATTTTGCCAAAATGCCGTCAAGTTTTTGAGGGTATTTTGCTCAAATTGAAGCTGCAATGAAAGTCTCAGTCTCTATTTCTATATTTAGTACTTTATTTCATATGAAATGTTAAAAGGCACTGCTTTAGATATGATGGAGAATCTATCATCCAACCTACTCCTGCTAGTGATGAACACAAAGCACCTTCAGTGTCTACAAAAATGACGAAGGCGAATTTCTTCTCAGTGATGGCATTGCTTATTTTGGCAATCAGAGCCGCCTCTTAAGATTTTTCCACCTGATAGAGGAGTTACGAAATCACCTCTCCCCGAATACGCATCAACTTATCTAATCACTCCATAGCTTTCAGCATAAAGGACATTATGCAATATTTGTAAAGCTTTTCAGTCTAAAATTGACTTTCTTTCAAATCTTAGGACTGAAGACGACGTCATGGTTGTGGTATATAAAAATGTGTTACCGAAAACCCTCCCTTCCCCACCTTTTTGCCAAGGTTTCCAGTAGTGGCTGAACACCTTATTTGAGTACGATAGTAGAATGCGAGGCGATTCGAAGCTAACAAAATATACAATAGCCTAATTATAATATGCCTAATAAAAGGCATAATTGTCTGATATCTAAGGGTCTTATTTACCCAACCTTGCGACAATATACAAACCACATATCTTCACACAATTTCTGTTTTTAGGTTGCTATAAATGAACGAGTATGAATTTTTCGAGCTTTAAAAAGGAACTCAGGCTTATTTATTGAATTAATAAATTTTAAAATCAGAGATAACTCTTTTGTACATACATAAGTATACTCTAGAAATAAAAAAGTGGAATATTAGACGCAGGTCTTTAGAAGAAAAAAAATGGATTTTTCTATTAGCGTGCGTAACATTTCTTTCAGAAATAAACAAAGCTACCACTATTCAATATCGTGTCTAATCACTTTCCTAATCACTCGCTACACACCAACACCATCATACAAACATGCATCCTAAATTTCCATGTGCATTCACAGTGTAAGCTAAATTCATTAACACACAATCGATCAGCTTTTCAGGTCCACCACCACCCACCCACTATTTTTCAGTTGTAGTTTCAATTCCAAAATACAGATGTTAAGCTTTTCTCTTTCAATAAACAAAAAAAAAACAAACAGATCAATACTTTCCTCTCTAAATGTAAATAGTGTTGTGAAATAAAAAAAAAAATTGCTTGATTTTTTGTATATTTGTAAATTTTACTAAGCTTCTGTTTCATTTTCCAATTAATTCAAACAAGTTCTTCAGTGTATGTAAATACATAAATGTGCTGTGTTAAAAAAAAAATAATAATAATAATGTGTACGTAATTTTTTCTACTTTTTATTTGTGTAAAAATTT